ATTAAGTTTTGTTGTCATGCCACAGCCCAAAAAAGCATAGAGAATTCTCAGTAAAGTAGAGTTTGCATTAAAGCTTTATGTGATACTGGTTGGACTTTCTGACAAATTGCTGCTGACTTGAAATGCTTCCCAAACACTGTCAAATATACCCTAGATCATGAGACTGAGATGAGTAAATTTGAAAATAGGAAAGGAATAGGCAGAACACCTAAACTCAATGATACTGATGTTAAGTATCTTTGTTTATGCAGCCTTTGGGACAGAAGGAAGACTGCCACTGATCTCAAGCATGAGATAAATGATCATGTACCAAATGACAGAAAAGTGTCTAGATCTATAATATCAAGAAGACTCAATGAGACTGGAATATTTGGTTGTGTAGCAGTTAAAATACCTTTACTTCATTCTCCAAGTATTGTTATGAGACTGAAATTTGATAAAAAGTACAAAAACTGCACTGTTGATGATTGGAAAAGGGTGTTATGGATGGATAAGTCCAAGTATGAAATATATGGTTCAAAGCATAGGTTGTACGCTTTACAGAAGAAAGGTGAAAGATATTTACCTCAATGCATAGCATCTACCATAAAACATAAAGGAGGCAGTGTGATGGTTTGGGTGTGTTTTTCTGCTGAGGTGACAGGAGATATTTGCAAAATATATGGAATAATGGACCAGCACAAGTACCATCAGATACTGATCCGTCATGGTATACCTAGTGGTTTGCATAATATTGGTAAAGGATTGTACTACCAAGACGATAATGACCCCAAACACTCACCCAACTTATGCAGAAATTACTTAGCTAAGAAAGAAACTACTGGAGTAATTCAACTGAGTCCTGATCTCAACCCAATTGGGTAGATCTGGGATTTGATAGATCAAAAACTTGAGAAATCAAAAGTTACTTCCAAAGAAACTTTATGGGAATGTATTAGAGACATTTGGAGTAAAATCCCAAAGAACACTTTGATTAAATGTGTTGCAACAATGCCTGAAAGACTGTCTGCAGTTATTGAAGCAAAAGGGGGACAAACAAAATATTAACTGTTTGCTGAACTCAAGCACTTCCACTGAGTTTCTATTGTACTAAATATGAAGATTAATAAAATTTTGATGTTTCACCTGTGATTTACCTTCCATTATACTTTAAAAGTAGCCTGAAATCTAATTTTTGACTTTGTCCTAACACTTTTGGAAAGTACTGTATGTATCTTTATTGTATCAACAGAAAATCCAAGTATGTAGTAAAAAAACGTTCTTTTATGTATTATTAAAAAAACAACACCATAACTACATTATTAAAAATAATGAAAACATAACCTGCATATTTACCAAAATTTATATTGCACTGAATACTTGTATAAAGCACTTACTCCTAAACATAAAAAATGAACTGTAGCAAACTAGGATTATCACAGCAATTAATGAAGAAGTGTACAATGTCTGAACACATATGTTGACAGCACCAGTTGCAACATTAGCAACTAAGAAAAACAATAAAGCATTTTGACTGATAGCCTCCACCACTATGATTCTGTATTGTTCTTTCTCTTTGTCTTTGGAGATTAGAATCGTTCTTGGTCCCAACATCAACTTTTGTGTTCTTAATAAACTGGTCAAAATTATTTCAGCTAACTGAACTGCCAAAATAATGAGGTTAAAGGCAACCTGAAATGTATATTTTTTCATTACATACAGTTTTATATTATTTGTAATTCTGATCAAACTGGCACTGAAATGCTAAATGTAAAAGTTGTTAAGTTTGTATTATTTTTAGTTAAACAGGAAAATAACAACAATTATTACAAATGTTAGTTTTTAATACAAAATAAAACATATACAATAACATTCAAACTGAAACAGTGAACATTTATGTAAGACATTAAATTATAAAATTATATGTACTTTTCAATGTAAAAGTAAATAAGTCCAAGTATAAAATAACGTGAAATATATGATGATCTTGACAGAAGTCACCATATCACTGCTAAAACAAAATATTATATGAATGATTAATGTAGTCCTTCTAACATGAGTACATGTATGTAAATTGTGATCAAAATATTTCAACAGTTTCAAATCAATAATGCAAACAACAAGTAGTTTTTAACTTGAAGAGATAACCTTTAATGCACAAGATTATCTTGTCACCATAAAAATTTAAAAGTACAATATGGCTGCCTTTTCTCTTGGTCAAGTCAATTTAGTATAGGTTAAAATTAACAATGTACAGGCCAAATAAAATTGTTAAACTTCAAAATATGAAAAGTTTATGTATAAAATCATGTTCCACCTAAAATATTTAAGTTGTTATCAAATATACAAACCACCATTGAGTGAAGTTCTTCATGTGCAAATAACCTTGACAGAAATTTCAAGTATAAACTGAAAATTACATGTATCTCCAAGTAATTACCTAAATGAGATGCCTTCAGACTCTACAAAGTAACTGAAACTGAAAAAAACAAACTTTACCTATTCTCAAATGTCAGATAAAGAATGTTTAAATAAATGGATTTGAAAAACATGTAAAATAAACTGCTACAAAAGATTAAGCATGTCATCAACTGAATTGCATCTTGTTTGTCTGGTGCTTATATGTATTTTCTATTAGTTACCTTATGTATTCAGTACCACTACCTTAATTTTTGTCCTATATACTTTTTAAAAATCACCTGTCCATATTTCACAGCTCTTTTCAAATAAAATTTTACATTTTCAACAAATTAGACATTCTCCCAAAAATTAAAAGGCAACAGAAGACAAAACAGTCTTACCATCCACAAAACGTATGAAAGATTTGCAGTTCTTCTTGAACAAGGCTCTATATTTTCAACAGAAAAGTGCATAAAGATCCAAAACATCCCTCCAGCAAGTAACAGATAACCAAGGAAAATAAGCCACTCTTTTAATGTATCTCTGAAAAATAAATGTGCATATGCCAAGAACATACTGTATAAGAAAATTGATACTGTAAAATCTTGTGTGAGTCTATAAATAGCAGTTTCAAATAAAATTCACAGTTATAATACAACAGAGAAAAATTCTGAAAAAAAAAACACACCAATAACTCTTTTTTGAATGTATGAATTTCTTGACAGAAACTTACTAGGAAAAATTACTAATAAACTGTAAAAACTTACACTTCATGCATTACAAGTTTCCTAGCTAACACTTATAGTATTATGTAAAAATACAACTGCTTAATAAGGCTATAAATGAAAATGCTTCTATTGTTTTTGCACAATTACATCTTGCTACAATATATGTACCAGAGCTTGAAATTAAGTTTTGTGATTGAAAGAGAATCTCTCTCAATCACCTTTATCCATATTTGAGAAATTTTAAGAAAGAAAAGCATTTTAACCAGTAAATCAAAGCAAATAAATATAATACAATTTAATAATAATATTCAATTCACAATGTAAAATTCAATTGTACTAAGGAGTTAATAGGGTGCAGTCTTGCTGATAATTCTATAATTTGACTGACTATTTAAAATCCACTGCAGTTTGTTCAGTCAATTCTTGAACAAATTAATATTTAAACTGATTAGAAAGAACTATTATGAAATTATCTATCATGAATAAATTCATATTCTTCTCAATTTTTTGATATCCATTTTTTACTTCAAGATACCTATAACTTTATTGAGTAAGCCTCAAACAAGCTCACTGAATGGCTGATGCATGTGTGAAACATATCACTTATCACTAGAGCTAGGAAATTAATCAATAACCTACGAGCATTGATTACATCAATTAGCATTAAGCCAATTAATGTCATGAAAATAATCAACTAATTGAAATTAGTTTTTTCAATTATTCCAAATATCCAAGTAATTGAAATACTGCCATTATGATTTATCAGTATTAGTTTTTGATTAATTCAAGGCTCTTCAGCTTAATCAGTTAGTGCCATAACTCATACAAATAATCAACTAATCAAAATTAATGTTTCTAATTATTACTGTTTTTTATTATTCCAAGTACTCAACATATAAAAAATGCTGTCACATAATAGTCATAGTGATACATGTTGTTAATGTTTACTTTGTTTGGACTAAATAATACTGTGCCTTTAAATTAATATACCGCTTACTCATTACAAGCTACAAATGTAACTAGTGTTATTTATGGTAAGGTTGCTTTAATGAAAAAAGCTATGGTAAGTTAGTATTAATTCTTTTTTATTCAATAAAAAAATGTTGATTGCTGAATAACATGCTCATTTGTTTGTTGAAATTTACTAGACATGGACTAATAACTGTCTAAAAATATGTAACACCAATAAGCCATTTACATAAACAAGACTCCTGCTTAATTATGGCTAACTCTAGCTTAATAGAATACTGAAAAGGGAAAAACAAACGTCTGACATTCAGCTTACACACTGCCTAGTAAAGTAAACTGTAAGTTGTTGGATTTATTAATTTCTCAGCATTCTTGTGTGTTTCTACAGTTTCTTAAATCCAGTCTTAACCATCAAATGTAAACATATTAATCATTTCAATATGTTTCTAAACTTCCATCCATATCAACTACTTCTCACTTAAAAGCTGTTTTTTATACTTATAAAGTTATTAATTATTAAAAAAATTTTCGCATTGATGATGGAATTAGAAAAAGTTTTGAAACATCTGTAATTAAATATTTTTTTATCTTACTATGGTTTTAATATTATTCATCACTTCAGGGAATGTTTGTAGGAGGATGTTCCAAATCTCCTGGTGAATACTGTTCTTAAGCTCATTCAAATTCCAAGCATAAATTCTGTCTTTTAGTTAACCCCATAAAAAAAGAAGTCTGGAGATGATAAATCAGGTGAATATGGAGGCCACTCCACATCCTCATAAAAAGCTCATTCAAATTCCAAGCATAAATTCTGTCTTTTAGATAACCCCATAAAAAAGAAGTCTGGAGATGATAAATCAGGTGAATATGGAGGCCACTCCACATCCTCATAAAGGAAAATCAGTCACTGTTAACCAGGTTAACTATCATCAAATAATTGAGGAATTTAAACTTCCTGAACTATACAAATAGTCTTAACAAATAAATTGAGGTATTCACATGAGAATACAGTGGATCTAGCAGGATGGGGCAACTACTCATACTGACTGATTTCTCTTTATGAGGATGTGGAATATTCTCCATATTCACCTGATTTGTCACCTCCAGACTTCTTTTTATGGGGTTATCTAAAAGACAGAATTTATGCTAACCCAAGCCTCAGACTATTAATGAGATCAAGGAGAGTATTTGCCAGGAGATTCAGACATCCCCTGAACTGATGAAGAATATGGCAGTCCAAATGCAGCCTGTTATTAGCAAACGTGGAGCCTATATTGAACATGTGGTGTGAGAAGGGATTATGGGACATAAAGTTTCACCATTAGTCTTTAAATAAATGCATTCATTATTTAGTAATTACAACATTTTGTATTTTTTGGGGCCACATTAAAATGTGTATATTTGTGGGACATCCTATACATTATCTTTCACATACTGTGACAGGAATATTTATTTTTAAATAAAAATCAGTTTATTTAGTTTCAATAGAGTAGTCTTGTGAAAATTTGTAGGAAGAATCCGATGGAATGGTATTAATGATATTTATAGTTTATTACAGTTTTCTTACTAAACTGGATATGCGAGACATTTTCATGTACAACAGTTTAAGATTAAAAAATGTAGCTTAATTCTAAATTGTTGTATCTCAAGATATCTATCATATTAAAGGTCTTTAAAAAACCCAAAAGAAGCTGCAAGTTAGAAGATTAATCTCATGTGAGAATAAATAATTACTTGAATGAGTAATCAATTAGCAAATTTCACTAATTCCCCAGCTTTATATGTTCAGGATGTCATGACTATTCCATAGTTTAGAATGAATATTTAGTGAACCATTTTAAGGAAATAATTTCGATAATATTTTTATTTAAAGGCATTATTATTCAGTTCTCTCCATTTAGCTCAACTACATTTTTTATTTACATTTATTTAGAGTTATAGTTTTTACAAACAGTCAACACTACAAAAACACATTCTACTTCAGTTTTGTAACTACAATTCAACACTTTTACTGACTATTGGTAGCAACTACTGAAAATAAGTTGTAGTATATGATATCTGCTGTAAATGTTTTTCAGGAGAAAAAGGTAAATTCTAAAAAGAAACACGAAAATCTAGTTATATTGGCAGAATTGTGTGTTCCAAGACTTGGAATAAAATAACACAGTCACTTGATCACCACAATAACTAGGGATTTGAGGATCTTATATGTAAAAGGACAAGAGTAATAATTTGTTACTGGCTGATTGAAAAAGAAAAAACTACAAATGAAGATAAAAACAAACACAAAAGTATTGGTGAAAACAATGTTTAACTATGGTATTAAGAACCATGAAAATAGAAACTATGAAATAAGTCTCATTATAAGTAAAGAAAAATATGATGTATTTAATACAAATAAGTTGTACAGTGGTACTTTCAAATACATGATAAAAGTCTAATAATTGAGGTGATATTTTCCACCTCAAGTGATGGTCATAAAATACTCTCATACACAGGGCAATGTTTGTTAAAATACAACTACCTTATGAAACAGTAAACATCACCCTTGTCTGTGTTCTTCTAAAGAGAGTAACACCATAGACAAATTTCTCACTCAACTTAGGATATATGTGGTTCTAAATTAAAACCCTATCCAAATTTAAATACTGTAAGACAGTAAGGTAAGCGATATATGCATATCAAAGGCATACATTACACACAGGCCTTGATCCAAATTGTTATTTAGGTCAAAATAAAAATAGTTTGGCAGTGTGTGACCAACCCAGAAAACAATAATTAAAGTCAAAATCATATTGCCAAAAAAGTATAAACTTTTTTATTAACTGATTGCCCTAAAAATCAGTTTTATAAATTTCTTTCAACTTGTTCCTGATTAATATCACCAAAATGTTTACCATCTAGTCATTGTTTCTTTGAATAGCAGTGATAAAATAGAAAATAAGAAAAGGGCCTAAAGTTACACTAATTAATGTAAGTACTGATTAAAATGTTTCATCACTCAACAAGTATTATGTTGTTTCATAATGTGACAACAACTACTCATACAGAACTGATACAACTGCATGCACATATATGTTTTGTTTCCATTACTGATACGACTAATCTTCCAACATAAAAATCGTATTTTATGAAGATCATCTGGTTGGGCTATCAATCACGTTTTTCATGGGCACATGCTATCTACTGTATCAAATTTTTTACACTTAACTGTAAAATTCATAAATGGTTGAGCATACAAGTTTTTCCCTGTTGAAAGAAGTATATTTTTGGCTAAATAATGTTGAAAGTTCCAGACTCTTGATATTTCTAGAACCATTGTTTAATGTGTTGTTCAAATGGATGAAAACATTATGCACTAACATCTGAAAGAAACTATAGATAGTATTAAAGTAATAAAAAGGAGGTCTACCTACCCACCCAACTTTATTGTATAGGGATGGGTAAGGGCAAACAAACATTTTTAGTATGTAGCCTTACTTTACACTTGAAGAATCAATTATAACATATACAGGATATTTGAGTGATATGGAGTCCTCTTCTACATTTAATCTTTGCATACTTTGTTAAGAATAATACATTCTGACCACATTTATTACTTGAAGAGTAACAAAATCACAGAAACACCACTCATGTTATATTTGAAAATCAAAAAACACAAAAATATGAAACAAAAGTCATATTTCAGTAAAAGCACAGTGATATATGTATCATTTGACACTATCAAAGCACCAGAGTTCCTGAAATGGTCATTATACATAAGCCTTTTTACACAACCTCATTAAAGACTTAGTACTAAAAAGTAGAGAAATAACTACTATATAATGTTTTGATTAACAAGTATTGAGACAAAGTACTGGCATGTAACAAAAATGTTTAAGATATACCTTGGTTTAAAGAGCAGTTTACCAACTTGTACAGCAAACAGATATATGGCAGTATAACCAAACAGTGACCACAAACCCTCCTTATTTGCATGAAGGAAGCCTTTTCTTTCATCACTCAACAAGTATTCTGTCATTTTATAATGTGACAACAAGTACTGATACAGAACTGGTACAACTACATGCACATACACAGGGAGTGCATTTAGAGATATTGTACATATTACCTGAAAAAGAATCAACATTTGCAATTATGTTTCTATTATAAATGGTCTCCATAATATTTTATAATACTGTATGAAAAGCTACCAATGCTATAACTAATACATTTCTAAGTTTCTAAATTGTACTTTTCTTGAGCAGAAAGCAAATTAGTCTTAAATAAGGAAACAAAACCCATAACAAGCTGATAATTACCGTATTAATTGCATCCCAGCTACAAAGAAAGAGAATGAAGCTTCACATGACTTCAAGTGGATATCTTTAATGGATTAAAAATTTCAAATTGTCACAGTATGTGTTCTGGTGTTTAGCATCTGTTTCATATTACATGTACAACAATTGAAAACCAAAACACAAGTGGTCTGGCTAACTAGAAAGATGGCCAGACTTAAAAGTTATCTTTATCCTTTAATGAAAACATAAAAAAGTGGCCATATAAGACAATTTACACTGTAGTACATGACAGAACTAATGTCAAAGGTTTCATACACACACAAGAACATGTGTTCAAAACTTTGCACATATCCTCCGTAAGAAGGAGGACATTCACATGATATTTAAGTGTTAGTGCAATATGCATAGTATTATTAATGAATTCATGCCTAAGACTAAAAGTGCAATCATTCAGATCCATACTGATTATGTGTGCATATGTATGTATTTTTGTACATTCAAGAGAATTTACCAGTATTTTAAAATACCATCTTATTCCACATATTACTAAACATATTATTTTTCAAGTTTTAAAAATGGTGTTTTTTAGACTTGTAATATGTACAATGTATATTATAATGTATTTGCAATATAGAAAATTATAAAGTGCATGCAGTGGTGTAACTACAAAAGATGGGCCCCCTGCATAAAAACTAATTGGGTCTTCTACATTTATTCCCCTTGCCAGCAATTCTTAAGTTTATCAGGCCTCCCTTTTGGCTCAGACTGCAGGGGTATATTTACACCACTGAGTGTAATGATTGTTTGTACACTCCACATGATCAAGCAACCAAAATAACCATTTCTATTCTAAATTACATGTAATTAATTAAGAACATTTAGAATTCCTTGTTATTGATAACATAGTTTGTATTTTTCTTTATGTTACAGACCTGCATTATACATGAATGTTATATGTTTATGGTATTAGTCATCAGGGTTCTACTTAACATGAACTCCTGGATCCTTTATGCATGAGATGTGAATGAATACACACTGCAAAATGCCCATATGCAAGGCAACATAACATAATATTTTGGGACAACATTGGACTTATTGGTCCACCTTGGTTGTTCCATCCTCAAAATTAAATTAAAATGATAAAAAAAATAAGTAAACTCAGCCTTTTTCATTTATATACTTACAAAGCTTTTTCTTAAACTCACTTAAATTTACTGCCTCTACAATATCTGAAGGCAACCCATTCCAAAGGCCAACCACCCTGTTAGAAAAATAAAACAGTCTTAGCTGAAGATGATTCCTACCTTGCCAAAATTTATATATGTGTTCCCTAGCCCTACTATTCTCACTGTTAAGTGTCAAAAAAGATGATTCATCAGCACTATCAATTCCCTTTATAATCTTAACCCTACTGGCACGGATCACAGATCAAAAGTCATGTCAACACATTTCTTGACTCGCATAGTTAAATATAAAAAAGATGATACATCAACACTATCAATTCCCTTTACAATCTTAAACACCTCAATTAGATCCCACCTAACTCTTCTTTTTTCAAGAGAAAACAATTTGACAGATTTCAGCCCCTTGTCATATGGCAACCCCTCCATCCCAGGCACCATTCTATTAGCCCTTTCCAACAATTCAACATCCTTCCTAAGATAAGGAGCCTAAGACTGAACACAATATTTCAAGTGTGACCTAACCAGTTAGTTACCTGTACAATGAAAGTATAACCTCTTTAGACTTGTATTTAATATTTCTATAGATATAACCTAAAATCCTATTTGCCCTACCACTAGCAACACCACACTACTTGGATGGCTTTAGAGACTGATCGACTATTACACCAAGATCCCTTTCCTTCATAACACTATTAAAGTTATTCCCATCCAAATTATACTTATAATTCAAATTATGATAACCCAGATAAATTATGTTGCATTTATTATAATTAAAACCCATCTGCCATTTATTTGCCCAACTCACTAAATGATCTAAATCCTTTTGTAAATCAGCAGCATCCTCTTCAAAGCTAGCAACACCTAAGACCTTAATATCATCTGCAAATTTAAATAATTTTTTGACTATCCCTTCATCTATGTCATTGATGTAAATCAAAAAGAGCAAAGGTCCTAAGACTGAGCCGTGAGGTACCCCACTTGTGACATTCATCCAGTTTGACTGAACTCTATTTGTAACAAACCTTTCTTCCATCCAGCCACTCTTCTATCCAATTTGCTAACTTATCCTTCACTCCTATAGAGCTATTTTTTTTAAAAGCCTTTTATGTGGAACCATGTCAAATGCTTTCTGAAAATCCAGATACACCAAATCTACACCCTTACCCTCATCTACATGAACAGTAACCTTTTCATAGAATGATAAAAGATTTGTAAGGCAAGATTTTCCCTTAGTGAAACCATGTTGACAATCAATTAAAATTCTAATCTTTGTTAAATGACTTTGCAAAGCATCTTTTAAAATACTTTCCAATATTTTTCCCACAACTGATGTAAGGCTAATGGGTCTATAATTACTGGGACAATTTTTATCATGTCCATTGAAAAGAGGAGTTACATTAGCTAATTTCTAATCCTCTGGTACCTGCCCACTATTCAATAGTAGCAAGTGGCTCACATATCCAATCTTTAACTTCCTTCAAAACCCTTGGGGAAATATTATCTGGCCCAGAAGCCTATCATTTTTTAAACCTCTCAATTTTTTTCTTAACTAGCCCAGAATTAATGCAGTCATAATGTTTGATCTCATTTCCATTTATCAACTGATCAAGATGTACAATACTGCTCAAACCTTCATTAGCAAAAACCGAAGAAAAAGTAAAATTTGATAACCTAGCCATCTCATAATCATCAGATACTAGTCTTCCTTTATCATCCCTCAAGGGCCCTATCCCTATCCTAACATTTTGTTTTCCCTTGATGTATTTAAAGAAATCCGTATTGTTAATTTTTATATTTTCAGCCAACTTTTTCTCGTACATACTTTTTGATATCCTAATTTCCTGTTTCACCAACTTTCTTGATCTTCTAAGTCTCCTGTCATACCAGTCAATTTAAAGTTCTTAAACTCTTTGTGAGCCAACCTGGTTTTTTACTTATAGCTACCCTTTTCTTTCTATTAGCACAAGTAATTTGCTTCAAACTAAACAGCATACAGTTTGCACACAGCTGTCCACAATCAACTTCCAACAGGTTTCACCAATGACAATAAATGGCACAAAAATAAAGCCACATGATTAACCCTTTCACTCAGAAAGGTCAAAATGTGCATGCCACAACCTTTCACAGTTATATTCAAAATTTAATTAAACTACTTCATCATCAACGTATATGAATAAACTCAGCATCAGAATGTAGATAATAAATAAAAGTTTAGTATTATTTAAGTTCTTTATTTTATAAGAAAGTCCTCAATCTCCCCCTAGTAAGAGAACTATAATGTTTGTTATCTATGTCTTCCCTCTTCTCTAATCTTTTTATCACCCCTTCGAGAAGTACGAAATTTAATGAAAATTACTCATGTTTTCGTTGTTAGTCACAGAGAATTGTCTATTTTCCTTTGAGTTCAAACTTTATTTGTACAGGAAACACATAAATGAGCTTAGTTGAATTTCTAACGGCTGTTGTTGCACAGTTAGAATGCCAGAAAAATTGAGTTAGTTATGGAATATTGTTTCTTTAAATAGAAATTACTTAATGCAGTAGTACAATTTGTATGAAAAAGTAGGGTTAAGTTTCACCAACAGTTGAGAGTAAAAAAAAAAAAAGACCCAGGTAAATACTTTATTTCTTGTTTTTCATGTGTATTCTTTATTTATTATTATAAAAGTAACTCAAATGTAAAAATTAAAAACATTTTAGGTTAACTAAAGTAAAATAAATGATAATATTAACAATAATTTTTTATGATAACCGCTCATGAGTAGTGCATTATGTAATTCAATACTGTAATGTGAGCTGCACGTTTGCCATGTGATTTGCAATTTATATAGTGCAAATAATAGTTAGATGTGTTTCAAAGGGCAATAAAAAAATCAAATTTAAGTATAAATAGATGAATACTGTTACAAGCTTTAAGCTACTTAGAATAAACAATTGTGATTTTCTGTTCAATTTTCAGTCATTACAGAAAGAAAATAGGGGAATTTATAATAATTATTATTATTTTTTATGTTGTTTACGAGATTAGTCAAATCAAATGATCTCATATAGACTATAGAGTTAGGGTAAATAAAATAAATATAGTTATTCTGAAAAAAATAATTTGAGAGGTTTTAGGGGTTATGCAAATGATATTTGAATGTTTCCAGATAAAGAAGTATTTTTAATCTTACCATGAAAATTACTTTCACACATAAAGTGAAAACACATGCAGTGTAAATTGTAAATAAAGTTTTTAATTCACACCAAAGTGCTTTTTTTCTTTATCTTTGCAATCCATAAAATTCTAACTCTTGAAAAAAAAAAGTTGAGAGTCCAAAAACCTTCACTGTGGGACCCTAATGAGAACCCTGATCACACATTTGTCTTTAATTATTTACATGTAGTTGACAAACATACTTGAAATAAATTTTTTTGAAAACTGCATTTAACCTTTTTTAATTAATTACAGAGTTGCTTAAATACTGTAATGATGTACATGCATGTTCTTAGCTTAGGGGATGCTACTGGAAGTCAAATGTGGATAATGAATCTGAAACGAAAGTGATGTTGCAAAAAGAAAAAGGCATGGTCAAAAATAGTTTAGCTTTGAAAACCTTCACTGAGAAATGTTACTCTACTCTTTTTATACCTAATATGTAAAGGAA